ATTTTATTTATTTGACACACAGGGACACAGTGAGAGAGGGAACACAAGCAGGGGGAGCGGGAGAGGGAGAAGCAGGCTTCCTGCGGAGCAGGGAGCCTGATGTGGGGCTCGATCCCAGGACCCTGGGACCATGACCCGAGCAGAAGGCAGACGCTTAAAGACAGCCACCCAGGCGCCCCTAAAGACTTAATTCTTGAGAGCAATTTCAGGTTTGCAACAAAATTGGGAGGAAGGTGCAGAGATTTCCTGTACACGTCCCCTCCCTCCAACACATGCATAGCCTCCTTTGTTCTCAGCATCATCCACCAGAATGGTACATTTTTAACCAAGGATGAACCTATATTGACACATCATACTCACGCCGAATGCATAGTTTACCTCAGGGTTCACGCCTGGTGTTGGGCATTCTGTGAGTTTTGGTAAACGTATAGTGACCCATAGCCATCGTTGTAATATTATACAGAGCATTTTGAATGTCCTAGAATTCCTCTGTGCCCTGCCCATTCCTTTCTTCTGTTTCCGCCACCCTGGGCAATCACTGATCTTTATTGTCTTCATAGCTTTGCCTTGGGGACGTAATTGTTCACAAAACTATGTGATCTTGTTTCAGGAAGACAAGCTCTGTTAATGCTTAGACTGTATTTGCGTGGTCCCGGCTACCCAACCAGCAGGAGATTTTCTCGAATTCAGTTATCAAAACTGTCCCTCTCGACTTGAATTGCTTCAGTACTAGCTGGCCAACCCAGTTCACTCCAAAGGATGTCTGACCTTTACATAAGTCAGTCCCTGCTCCTGCACCCCCAGAGTGGGATACATGGAGGTGGGCTCGCCGTAGAGAAGCTGCATGCTGCTTTTCTGGGAGTATGACTTCATCTTCTGTGGTGTGTCTCCTTAAAGGGGAATGTGGGGCACACTCTGTGGTCTCTAAGGTCAGATCATAAAACCTACTCCACCAGTTTGGGGAAAATCCTACCAGCTGTATCAAAATGACATAGTAAGAACCCAAACAAAAATCTAATTTTGCTTCTTAGACAACTCAGTATTGACTGAACTGTATTGTATCAGACAGACAGCATGGTGGTGGCGTAAAGAAGACGGCTTCGTAGGTTGGGAACCTGTGCTCCTTCTATCTTGATCTGCCTGCCTGAACATGTGGCTTTCATCTTGTGGTGCATAATGGCTGCCTGGGAATGGCCATCATATCTGCATTCCAGCTAGCAAGAGGAGGAAAGAGAAGGAAGGAGGCATGCCTCTTCCTTTCAAAGGCATGATGTGGAAATTGCACTCATCAATATCTACCTCTATTCCGATGGCCAGAGGATAGCCACATGGCCACACTTGACTACAAGACAATCTGGGAAATGTAATCTAAGATTTCTAAACATTATATTATTATAGAAGAAAGGAGAATGGATGTAGGAGGACAATTAGGAGAGTCTCATCCACGTTTGGACTCCACTAGACTGAGGTCTTTCTGAATCCTCACTGTCATACAAAGGTTCTTTATCCCTTCTGATGTGTGGCAAGTGTGCTTTCTGAGCTCTGTTGGGAACCCTTAAAATACAGATGGCATTCTCTATCGAAAGCTGGAATCCACCCTAATGTCCGTCTACAGTTGAAGGGTAGACACAACATGGCATACACATGCGATGGAATATTATTTAGCCTCAAAAAGGAGTAAAATTCTGACATGTTCCAATATAGATGAACCCTAAAGACTTTATGTGACGCGAAATGAGCCAGCTGCAAAAGGACAAATGCGGCATGGTTCCCTGTATATGAGGAACCCAGAGTTGTCAAACTCATAGGGACAGCAAGAAGACCAGTGATTACCAGGGGCTGGGGAATAGGAAGAAGGGCTTGGGGAGTTAGCATTTCTTGGGTGTGGAGTGTCAGTTCGGGAAGATAAAGAAGTTCTGGAGATGGATGGTGGTGGTGCCTACGCGGCAATGTGAATGTTCTTAATGCCACTGAGCTGTGTATTGAAAAATGGCATGCTTTAAAGGGCCAAAAGCTGAGTTCTGATGAAGATCCTCGACATCCTTTTAGCTGACACCCTTTAGCTGACAGCACTATTAAGCCAGCGGTGAATCCCTCTGTCTGTGTCCTTCTTCAGCTCTCACTTTTCCACGTTCTCATGAGGCTCTAGCAGGACTCGCTCAAATCCAGAGATGCTCTTTTCGTGCATTTTCTTGTATTACTGTTCATGAGGCCATTCCAGCCCCTGGTGACCCCCGGGTCCTTTCATGAGCGTTCTCAAACTGCTTTTAATGGCATACAGAGAACTCTGCCAGGGTTCTGGCCGGCTCAGAGACTGTAGCTCCCAAGATTCTACGCTTTTGATATCCTCTAAAATTGAGACAGCCCTCTCTAGTGTCCATCTCTGTCTTTGTCTGTCTGTCTCACTCTCCAGATTTCTCTTGTACATCTTTCATTTACTCCAGTTCTTCAAAGATGATCAGTAGCAGTCCCCTTTCATAAACTCTGGTTTCCTTATGACTTGGGGATGTATTTATGCTCATCTGCAATTCTCAGCTCCTTTTAAGCAGCAAACTCTCTATTTGACTTCAGAGCCCTCTGGGGTGGCTGCCTGTCCCCTGGTTTCCCCCCTCACCCCCTTGTCGGTGTGATCTTCTGAATCCCAAGGCTGATGTGTTATGTGCCGGTTGAAAGTTCAGCAATGGCCACACAAGGCTCTTGAATAAACCCTTAACACTTAGCCTGCTATCCAAGGCCATTCCCTTCTGCCACGCCAGCCCATGAAGCAAAATTTCCCAGTGCGCCCTGTGTCATACTTTATCCTGCAGTGGAGCTGATCACCTGCCCTTCCCTAAAGGAATCATGCTTTCTCATGCCTGTTGCCTCTGTGCATCTTCCCACCACCGTGCCTGAATCCCACCTCTGTCCATCTTCCCACCACTGAGCCTGAATCCCACCTCTATCCTCTTCCCACTGCTGTGCCTGAATCCCACCTCCGTCCATCTTCCCACTGCTATGCCTGAATCCCACCTCTATCCTCTTCCCACTGCTGTGCCTGGATCCCCCCTCCATCCATCCTCCCACTGCTGAGCCTGAATCCCATGTCTACCCTCTTCCCACTGCTGTGCCTGAATCCTACCTCTATCCTCTTCCCACTGCTGTGCCTGAATCCCACCTCCGTCCATCTTCCCACTGCTGTGCCTGAGTCCCACCTCTGCCCATCTTCCAACTGCTGCGCCTGAATCCCACCTCCATCCATCTTCCCACTGCTGTGCCTGAATCCCACCTCTGTTCATCTTCCCACTGCTGAGCCTGAATCCCACCTCTATCCTCTTCCCACTGCTCTGCCTGAATCCCACGTCTGTTCATCTTCCCACTGCTGTGCCTGAGTCCTACCTCTGTCCATCTTCCCACCACCATGTCTGAATACCACCTTTATCCTCTTCCCACTGCTGTGCCTGAATCCCACCTCTGTCCATCTTCCCACCA